CAAGTTCGTATAATACCAAATTTATAAAATTGTCTGATTAAATGATCGCGTAATTAAATGATCGCGTATATTAAATGATCACGTATAAGACCTATTAATTCCTAAAAAGTCAATTCAACCACCATTTTATTTAACCGCTATTTATTTGTACGTTTTTTTTTTGAAAAAAAAAAACTTTCTTTTTGAAAAGTAGAGTCTTCCTCCTATACCGTTTGCCGTCGTGCATAGTGTGTTATAGGAAAAGGTGGACTTGTTTGATTGATTATATGGGCATAAGCTTATGTTATATAGGCGTAAAACTTATATAATCAGTTTGATAACACAACAAAAATCCTTTAATCAAGGGTTAAAATAGGCATGATGGGATATTCTCATATATCATGAGCTCTGTCTGTTCGAAGTGTCATTTTATATATAATTAAGTAGGCTTAAGTCATAAGTAACTTTTTTATAACATTGATTATTAGAGAATTAAGTGGCAAAAATAATTTTTAGTTTGTAAGACTTTAACTCTATACCAACTTGTATGTGTTTGGCATATATTTTATTCCCTAACCCTTAGACCCACTCATGGGTTAGTAAGTTGCTTTGCACTTCTTGCAGCCTATCTTTAATGGGTTTTAGGTCCACGTTTGCCCATTTAAAATTTATTAAACAGGATGTCATTCGTCCAAACACATTGCAACGTTTGTTGATAAAGCTATGGTTGTCTAATAAAAGTTCACTTTGCCAGGCAATTTATGGTGGATTCAATGAATCAAATTACAAACAACAATAATGCAGTCATATGAGAATTCCAGGCCAAAGAATAAGGGTGAATTGTCAAAGTTGAGAATATATTTGTATTTTTTTTTTAAATCCTTCATTCTTATGAACTTTTTCATTGTATTCCTAAGTTCAATGATTTTTGTAATGATGAAACTGCAGTTGTTTACAGGGGTTTCCCGCCAAACTTCTGAGGTGAATTTATGTCTGGTGTTTTTTGAATATACTTATCCTTTTTGCAATAGAGTCGTAGCGAGTCTTCTTAAAGCGTACCTGTGACACCCCATCCAACTTGGGCAGTGTCACTGAATTTAAAGCAAGGTACCCTGTTAATCCTCAACTTTGGGTTGATGAGTTATGATTCTGGAGTATTAAGGCATAATGTTTTGACTTACATCACCAATTTAACTCATAATTCTAATTTATTGAATTAGTTTATTATAGATTTATTGATATTTTTTTTTATCTGTTATATAATATTTAAACTAATGTATACTTTATCTGTAATTAAAATTCTTTACAGAAACTTACCATTTTTAATCAATATAGAATCGATATCGTTAAGTTTATCTTAACGGTATCATTTCGATATCATTTCGATATTATTTCAATATCGATTTAATATCGATACAATATCGAAATAAAGTATTATCACTTCGATATCATTTCGATATTAAATCGATATTGAAATGATATCGAAATGATAATTAAAATGATATCGAAATGATATCTTTAAATTAAACTTAAAGATGTTGTTTCGATATCATTTCTATTATCATTTGATATCATTTCAATATCGATTTAATATCAAAATGATATCAAAGTGATAATACTTATTTTGATATTGTATCGATATTAAATCGATATCGAAATGATATCGAAATGATATTGAAATGATATCACTTGAAAATTTAAAGTTTCTGTAAAGTTAAGATTAATTATACTACATTTGGTAAATGGCTCACTTACTATTATCAAGCATGGGTTGGAAAAGAATCTACCTGTATTTTATGTGAATTTGATGACTTTCGTTTAGGAAAATATCCATTTGATTATGATACATATAAGCAATTTAATAGAGATATTTGGAGATATTGGTGTTTTGCAGAAACATCTACAAATGAATTAGGCTTAGTTGCTTGTAGATTATTTGGAATTTGTGTAAATGCACCTTCTGTGGAGCGTCTTTGGAGTTGTATGGGTTTCTTACAGACAAATCGACGAAATCGTTTAAAGGTATTTTTATTTTTGTTATAAATATTGAATTTTTAATATTAAAATACTAATACTTTATTGTCTTTATATTTAGTCATCAAAAGCTCTTGCTATGAGTAAATTAAGAGCAGATATTACATGGAAGCATCAGGTTAATTCTAGTACTTCTTCTACTTTAATAACTCCACTTAGTATTATAAATGATGTTAACAAAAATAATACAAATGATAATGAAGAAATCAAAAAAAATAATGAACAAATTCCAGAAAATGAAAATGAAGAGGATGAAAATGATAATTTAACTAATTTAGAAAATGAATTTGGAGATTATTTACAAGAATGAGCAGAAATGTTAAAAGAAGAAGCTAACAAAAATGAAGAATATGAAACAGACGAGTTAGATATATTTATAGAAACTAATAAAATTACTCATCCGGCAATTGATTCTGATGCCAAATGGAAATTAAGATCAATTTTTAAAGAATTAGAATTTCCTTTTTAATAAAATAAAGAAAATAAAAAATGCCAATTTATTTTTATTAAAATACTTTTTTAAATTCAAATTAAACAGTTAAAAATTATCAAAAAGTAAAATTACATTTACATTATATAAACTTAAATGTCCCAGATGTCCTTGGACATTACAAGTCTTGTCCAAGGACTTGGACTGTCCTGGACTGTCCCATCCAAGGACATGTCCCATTCCCATACCAACACTGTAAACAGGTATGCATCAAACTTTTCCAGTAAAAAGTCATTGTATAAAAATCGTGCAGTTTTTATTTTATTTTTGTAATAATCATCTAGTTTCTGTTTAGTATTTGTATAATTGAATAAAATCGCATTTTTTCATAAAATTTAATCATATGATTATTGTAGGCTTTTCATAACATTATTAATATTCTGATATTTAAATTTTATTTCGTAAACTTAAATGTATGATTATTGTAGATTTTTTATAAAGTTATTAAATTCTAACATTTATTAAATGAAAATAGTACAATTATTTTAATATGGATTTTTGAAATTTGTTTGAAATTTGTACTATTTAATGATTCGTGCAATTACATTAGGATCATAAAACTATTTTCGCATGATTTTAAAAATCTATACATTGATCAATCACTCTCATATCAATAAATTGCTCAACTAGCGTATTTTTGCAATATCTTTGTTATATGGTGAAAATTAATTAATGGAATATCATATTCTATATGTAAAAAATATGCAAATATAAAATTAGAGAAATATGCTAAAATATAATATCAATATATGATATATATATATAGTTTAGGAATCATAAACTTCGTAGCCACGCTCAATTAAGGCAATGTATTACTAGACTTACACTAAAGATGACTTTAGCAAGGCTTTCTTTGTGAATTAAAAGAAATTTCATACACTTTGCCAGCTGGTGGGATAGCTTATGACCTCTAACCTCAAGTCTGTTTATACTAATAAATCCAGAATATTTGCATCGCTAATAAAAAGTATAGTTAAGGTACTTCAAAGAATCCCTAAAAAGAAAAAAATAAATAAATGAGCAATTAGTAAACATTCATCAAAATTAAAATAAATTACAGCCGAATATACTAAGAGATATAATCAATATATTAACCAAATTTTACGTGTCTAGATCCATCTAAAGAGCAAATAGTTGTAGGTTCAATATTTGTTAGTTTAGTTCTATTGATGTACTATTATCAGATTTGTCAATAGTTTCTTGAAAAATTGGTTCGTAATTAGGAGATTCTAAGTCTAAAATTTCAGTATTTTTGTCATTTTCTTCATCTTTGCTTGATTCTCGTTTCAAAATCTCAATATTTTCATCATCTTTATCAGATTCTTGCTCATCAGTACTTGATTTTTGAATATTTCCACTTTGAGAGTATTTTTTTTGATGACGTGTACGTGTTGAAATTGAAACTAAATTTTGGCCTTTGCATTTCAAACAATTACAAAAAACTTTTAGTCCTTTGTTACTTTTCTTTTTTTTCTTTTGACGGTTTTTAATAGACATTTGAATAATTATTAATCGGGATATTAAGAAAAATTGCTGCTGGTTAAAATATGGTATAAAATCTAATAGTTACACTACATTCCTTATTTATATAACAAAAAAAACTTTTAAATTTTACTTATTATAGTAGACAATAGATCAATTAAAAATAGTTATGCAATAAGAATTTAACTTAAATAATTATGACGTATTATAAGTTTATATAATTCACATGATCTTTTTATTTTAAAAGTTTTATTTTCCCAGGATTCATTACTTTTATTTTTCAAAAAATAAAGATTTTCTCTATAATGGAATATAATAATAGTGAAATGTCTGATTGTTCTTCCAATTCTGATGGTGGTTCTTTTATTAATTGTGAAAAGGAATCTACATTGAAAAAAATTGCAGAACTTAAAAAAAAAATTATGAAACTTGAAAATACTTCTATTAAAAAGGAAAAGACAAAGAGAAAATCGAACCAAAAACTTGTAGATAAAGAATCTTTTGCCATAACAAATAAAACAAAAGGATCATCAAATCAAAGTTGTTTAAAGGATAAATCTTTTAATAATAAATATAATAGTAAAAGTCAGCCAACCCTCTCTGAAGAAGATGATACTGAATTTTCTAGTGATGAACCTAAACAGGTGGCAATTATTTTAAATATAACATTTTATTGTTATTTTTATTTATTATTTTAAAATATATAATAGCCAATATTCAAGAAGAAAATATAAACTATCAAAAGATTCCTTCTTTTCTTCATATCCCAAAGAGTATTTGGCGTGGCTATGTGGTCAGTATATAATAATATTATTAATATTTGAGATAAATGTTTAACTTTAATATACTACTGCAGGAATCAATGAGACTTTTAGTAGCTGAAAAACTTTATCCTCTATATCCTACCACCGAATATCGTGATATGCCTATTAATGAAATTAATAAATGTATTGATAAGGTAAATACTAACTGTAATCCTGAATTACATTTATTTAACACTTTTTAACCAATTTTTTTTATTGTATTAGTTTCATAAGAAAAATCCATCCTTTCCAGAAACTGTTAGTGATTGGGCGGAACGTGAGATGATTTGTTTACATATAAATTATAGACGTAAGTTTATCTTAATTTAATATTGTTTTGTCATTATTCTGCTATTTTACTAAAATTTTCAACATTTTATAGGGTCAATTCTTAATCTTAGCGAAATGCATAAGACAAATATTTCTGTTAATAAAGCTAAGATCCGAAAACCAAATGGTAATAGTAAAAGAGCCAAAAAAAGGAAATAAACTATTAACAAAAAATCGAATCATGGTAATTTTTAATTTTGATGAAATATTTTAAAATGAATCAAATTAATAACATTACTACCAATCAAACAGAACCATTATTGGTATCCAACAGCCTGAATATAGAAAGTTTGGAAAGGCTTGATAATAATAAATCTTTACCAAGTAAGAGTAAGCTCATAGATTCTTTAATACATATGTAATCAATTAAATATATAAAATATATTACAATAGAATTATTAGAAGCCGTTGATGTCTCCCAGCTTATTCTAAACGTCCTGGCCATAAACATAAAATAACACAATCATCTGATAAAGAAGAAGCCATTGAAGATGTTGAAGTTGTAAGAATTCTTCCAGCAAAACATCCTGGTCGTAAACGTAAGATAACATAGCCATCTGATGATGAAAAAGGTGTTGAGGACGTCAAAACTATCAGAATTCCTCCAGCAAAACGTCCTGGTCATAAAACTAAAGCAGCACAACCACCTGATGATGAGAAAGGTGTTGAAGATGCTGAAACTATCAGAATTCCTCCAGCAAAATGTCCTCGTCGTAAATGTAAAGCGGTATAACATTATTTAATATATTTATCTATGTATTTGATATTTTATAAATTAGTACATATTTAATATATTATACTTTAATATATTACATTCTATATATTTTATACATATGTAAAACAAAATATATACAAATGTATTTCGAATGCTAAATAAAAGTATTACGAGTTTGCTACAAATCATTTACAAATTTTGTATAAATGGATGCTCATAATTGTATTAAACTTGTTATGTTAAAATATATTACATTTTTTATACGAAAATTTGACAAATACTTTTTACTGGGTTTATTGTATTGGATTTAAAATTAAATAACTAAATTACTAATATAACTTTTTCTCCTCTTTAATAAGTACATTAAATTAAATGGGTCTCGAGTTATTGTGTAATGGTTATGAAAAATAAGTTTTCCTAACTGTATCTTCTTTTCTTTATTTATTTTATTCTTTATTTATTTTCGTTTTATATAGTTTCAGAAATATGAAATTAAACATTTTACTTTACTATCCCAGTAAGTAGTTTTCGTATAAATTTATACCCTATATATGTCTAAAATATACAATATATCATTATTTTGTATTAAATTTATGCTGATCCAAATCACAGTAATAAAATGATTTACTAAATCGTGTTAAATTTATACTAAAATTGATATTTAAGAATGAAATCATACCAAATTTATAATACATACTTATTTAAAATATTTTCAAACATAAATTCTGGATAAATTTACATATGTTTTAATTATATATTCCATATAAATCATTTGACCGTAATTTGTACAAATTTTGTATAAAATTTGTATTACTCCTCCTCTGCACCCATATAACTTGTATACAAGTTACTATCGTCCAGATCATTAACTTCTTTATCAATTATATAATAAATGTTATCTACTTTTAAAAATCCTATGCAACGATCAATTACACAAACATCTATAAACTGTTTTGATCCAAACCCCTTAAACATTTTCAACCCATATTTGTCTTCTGATACCTGACTAGTCTATTGAACAAATGCAATAATCCTTGGTATATTTCTGTATTCATAAACCATAAAATATTCTATACACCCATAAAATTCTTCAATCTGAAAGACTGATTTGTGATTCCGTTGTGATGCATATTTGTCAACTTGCATTCTAATCTAATAGTAAATTGGATTATATAAATAATAAATGTTTTTTGGGGTAAAATCAAAATATATTACCAACTTATTGCAACTGTATAGTTAGTATTTGTAAAGTCTTTATTTCGTCTACCCCACTTGGATCCTATCATTTTACCATTTCTAATTTTAAGTCGACCATATTTCATACCATTTTCAGAAACTTCCTATAATTTTATTTTTAATTAGTTAAAATATAATTTGCGTATTAGAAAAATTATTGTTACCTCTCCATCTTCTTCATCTATAATAGTGTCATATGCAGTAAAATAATGTCTTTTAAGTTTTAACATTGTTGATTTGTTGATAAAATATCTTGCCCTTGGAAAATAAAGTTCTTCAATATAATATTCATTAGAATAAATCATATTGTTTTTTTTTGCTTCTTGTTTTTGCTTTGTGAAAAATATTTGATTTTGAATAGAATAAAATCTTAGATGATTAAACTGTTCACGCAAAATAATATTATTGATAAGACTTTGATATAGATGCAATTTAGATTTAACTAATGGCAATAACATTCCACATAGACGTTTCATTGGGAACTGCCACGTTGCCCAGCATGGCCCTGTGGCCTGAATACTATCTGTTAAATGAAGTAAGTAATGAAAGCACTAAGGTTGCTTGACGAAACCTAGGGGTTTAGGTAAAGATGGCCCCGAAACCGAAATATTTCGGATTTGCCGAAATTCCGAAACCGTAGCCGTAATTTCAGCCAAATCCGAAATTCCGAAATCCGAAATTCCAGCCGAAATGCCGAAATTAAATATGTAAATTTGGCCGGAATTATGCACTTAATTCCGGCAGGAATTATAGAATTTCCTAAAATGGAAATCGATGTTACACAAGATTCCATGTTCGTTCCTACCAAAATTGATTTTTGTGGAACGGCTATCGCCAAATATAGAAATGATCGACGTATCCGTTTTGACCGGAATTACGATTTTCGGCTGGAATTATGAATTCGGCCGAAATTATGAATTAATTTCGGAAAAATTTCGGATTTCGGATTCGGAATTTCGGATTTCGGATTTTTGCCAAATCAATTTCGGGGCCATCCTTAGGTTTAGGCAAGATGGTGTTTCGCCAAAAAGCGAAATTCTGCCGAAACTATATTAATATAGTTAAGAAATTTGCAAAGTATATTATAATTTGATATCAATAATTTTATTCATCTAAAAAATATACCAGTTTCTGTTTCTATTTTTTTTTGTTGACTATTGTTAGTTGCAAAATTCAACTGATTAATATTTTGAAGATAATTAGCATGATTTCTTTTTGGCAGGTTTTTTGGGTTATATTTGGTCAATTTGCTATTTTTAGGAGGAGTGGTTGGATAGTAAACATGATTATAATATACACCATGTAGATTACAATATCGGCAACCTTTATATGAATTATATCCTGTAGTGCACATTAACTTTGAAAATGCTGGTATATCACCTGATCAAGATACCACAAAACATCTTAAAATAAAATTTTCTTTTTGAGCACCATCATAACATTTTACACCTAAAATAAACAAAATGTATTGTTATTTAAAAATTAATAACACTATTAATAACTGAAGTTTCTATACCTTCTAGAGATTTTAATTCTTTAATTACTGGATATAAAAAAGAGTTGAAATTTAATGGAATATTTGGTCCAGGTATGATTGCTCCAATTAATAAATTATCATGTTTAACACGTTCTTGTGGTTTTAAATTAGCATTAATGAATAGTAAAACCTAACAATCATCAGTTTTCTGCTTAAATATCTGGTAACCATCAATAGAAGCTGTTAATGCAATATCTCTATAATCTGAAAAAAATCCTTCCTCACATAATTCTTTGTATCGTCTTCCATCAAATATATCATTATAACCTTCTTCATTAATATATTCAGAACTTGAAGTATATATATGTCTATATTGTAATGCTTCTGATCTTTTTAAATCTTGATATTGCATAAGAAAATGATCAATAAGAGAAAAAAAGGCCATTTTTTTTGGGATACCTTTGTATTTCCTTTAATTATATATCGTGATTCTTTACATATTGGACAATTTTGTAAATCTTTTAAATCTCCTGTAAATGCATTACAACTATTAATGCAACAATCAATCCATATTGGTGAAATAGAAATCATTTTTTCTAGTTTTTTTGAAGCACAATAGAGACTTATTTGATGTTCACTAAAAGCTGACATAATCTCTGAATAGACTTGATCTGTCATATTAGTACGTGATTTTATTTCTAAGAGATGCAAGGCTTCCATATAACCTAATGGTAATGCTTCAAAATCATTATCTAAATAAAATTAGTTGTTAATTTCTTTCCACATTTTACCAGTTATTATAAATAAAGCTTACCATCATAATTTGAACTATTTGAACTACTTTCAGTTGATTTTTCGTCATCACTTATATTATCAAATTCATCTATATTTGAATTATTTGAACTACTTTCAGTTGATTTTTCGTCATCACTTATATTATCAAATTCATCCATATTTGAATTATTTGAACTACTTTCAGTTGATTTTTCATCATTATTTATATTATCAAATTCTATATCCATATTAATAACATTATCATTATTACTTGCAGTAACAATATTAGTATTTATATTAAATAAATAATATTTTGTTAATTAAATAATTAGTGATCAAATTTTCACATTATTAAAATTATAATTTACCTTCCATTATTATTATAATATTTTTTTTTTTATCTTTTGCTCTATGACGAGTTCTTGTTGCTTTGGAAACTTCCTTATATCCATTTAGTTCTTTTTTACATGATTGACATTTACATTTTACTTTCATTTTTATTTTTAAAATTTTTAAAATTTTTAATTGATATAAAATATGTAATAATCTGGTTAGTTATATATGAATGATTTAATAATGATCAAACAATCAATAGACAATATAATTGTTTAATAATCATATGACTGAGAATTCTTAATACAAAATTGATTAATAATATACTTTTTTAGACTATATACTAATACTAATATATATAAGACTGAGGATTATTAATACAAAATTGATTAATAATATACTTTTTTAGACTATCATACTAATATATATAAACTAAATAATCGTACTATTGATTATTTTTTGAACTTGAATTACTATGGCACGTAAATGAGGTCAACGAGTTCAAGAAACTGAAAAAGCTGAAGATTCAGATATTATATCTGTAGCTAGTGACTCTGATTCTTCAAATAATTCATTAATACAAATATCTAAACAAAAAACTTCTAATAGAATAGCTGAACTTAAAGAAGAGTTACGAATATTAAATGAAAAGTTCTTGAATTCTAAAGTTGTACAAACTACGCCTAAAAAAACTAAAAAAATACAAAATGCTACCATTGACTCAAAAAAAATACATAAACCTGTCAAACGTGAAGGAAAAGAGCCAGAATGGTTTTCATCAGATCCTGAACAGGTCATATTAATTAAACAACTCAATATAATTATAATTTTTTTGCTATTTTAATTTATTTTCTTTAAATTTTTAGCCTATACCAAAGGAAAAAGGCAAAAACTATTATGATATTCTAAGAACACTTCATATTAGAAAAATAACGTGGAATGGATATGTGGTACTTTTCTTTTATTCTTAATAATAATACCTTTATTTATTGTACAATATTTAACTTATTTCAATTTTTAGGAATCACTTCGTCATTTATGTGAAGAATATTTATCAGAAGTTGCTAAAACTATGATGTTTAAGGATATTGAAATAAAGCTTATTAATAAAACAATTCACAAGGTAATAAATAAGTGTATAAAAAAATTATATTAAAGTCTATTTGTTAAAATATCATTTCAGTTTAAGGATCAAAATGAGTGTTTTCCTCAAACTATGGGTGATTGGGCTCTTAGAGAAATGATTAGAAGATGGGTTAATAATTATAGTAAGTTTTAATAATAACTTTTTATTAGATATTCAAATAATAATAACTAACTTTTTTTTAAATTAGGGGAATATAATAAAGAACCTGATAAATCTTCTAAAACTCAAAAATCTAGAAAACATAAGAAATCTAGAAATTCCATGGAATTAGAATCTACTTCATACAATAATCATACAAGTGATGTTGAAGAATCACAAAATAATTCTGGTGACTTTACTTCAATAGAAACACTACATTCTGATCATAAAAATGACGCTGAACAAGATGATCCCAAATTGGAATCTAACAATATGACTACAAGTAAGTTTATTAACTTATGTTTTACCATTACATTTATTATTAAAAATACTAAATTTTATTACATAATAGATGAACTTCAAGATATTACTCAGCAAATTGAAGAACTTATGAATAAACAGAAAAAATGCTTATTAAAGCAAGAAACAACAAACATAAGGTTAATGAAGTATTTACTTTGAGTAAGCAAATTTTAATTGTAAATCATTTGTAATAAAAATATTTATTATTATATGTTAACTGAAATTATATTTTTAGATACTTCTAATTTATATTTACAATCAGAACAAGACATCCCAAAAGAAAATTCTCATTTGTCTAACAAAATCATTGATATTCAAGATGATGATAAAAATGACGAAATTTCTTTAAAAAGAAAAAATCCTGAAGATTCTTCCGTCACTCCAACCAATAATTCTTCTGACAATAAGCTTGTTGATCTAACCAGTAAATGTAAAAGAAAAAGGAGTAATTCTACACAAATTGAATCTACAAGTGCAAATAATGATCTTTAAAAACAAAGAACCCGCCGTTCCACTCGAATTAAGACTACAAGTACAACAAGTGTTAACGTTACGTAATTTTTCAGTCATACGAATGACCAAATTTGACTAATGTGGCTTTTTGTGTGCAACACAGACCAGAAAAAAAAATAAAGTGTAGTAACTCTTGTGCGATGTGAGATTTCTCACGTTATAAACTCATTTAGATATGAGCATTTTTTTTCATAAATTTAACGTTATAATAACCAAAAATACAATAAAATAGAATAAGGATAAATATATTTATAGTCTAGTTTAGTATAACGAGATAGTTATATGATAATAGATTTTCAAATTTTATTAGAAAAAGATAGTAAATATTAGAAATATTTTTCTTAAAATGTATAAATACAAGTGGATTTCAATAGGAAATTCCGCAGTCTTGATTTTGTGTCTTGGCTCAAAATGAAATTAATATTAATAAAGAGTTATCATAGTGGTTTCACTATGAACAACGATTAATAATTATTGATTCTAATATAAAAAAAAAATAAATTAATTAAATTTATTTCGCTCTTAATATTAAATTTGGAGAAATTATCGCAATTTGAAATTTTGGTAAAAAATTTTGTTTTTGTAATTAATTTTATTTTAAACCAAGCGAAGATAATATAAGAACTCAACACGTCGGTGGCAACATACGATAAATTGTTATTTATCCTATGGGCGGCGTGCCACATTTTTGGTGCATGTTCGTGAGAAAGTAAATGATTGTTATCTTCATACAAGATCTAAATAAGAAATAAAAGAAAATTATATGAGAAAATGAAAGAAAAATTTGTGAAATTAATAAGAAAAGGATGATATGAAAAATCATCAAAGATAAAAAAGGGATGATATGAGAAATCATCAAAGATAAGAAAAAGATGATATGAGAAATCATCAAAGAAATAATAGATAAGGAAGACTTATCTGAAATATGAGAAAAGTATTACTATATATGAAAAAGGATATAGTAAAAGAAAATATATAAGAAATATTAAAATATTATTGAATGGTATACGAGAAATAAGAGAAAGTAATATTATGAAAAAGGAATATTACGGAATATATGAGAAATGAAAATATACGATATATTGAAAAAGTATATATTGAAAGGATGAATGAAATATTCAAGATAATAATGAAAAGATTTAAAAATTAAATGAAAATAAAAATTTATAATGAGAATGAATTTTGTGAATAATAAAAAGTTAATAAATGATTAAAAAAATTCAAAAGTATTATAAGAAAAGAAAAGTTATTAGTAACAAACCCGTAAACTACTATACTTCTATGAAGAAGGTAGGCAAGCCCGGTATAGGTTACTAAATGAAAAAGAAAATTAAATGATATTGTAAACATGAGAAATATTGAAATGTTATTATTTGATATTAAAAAAAAATAATAATTTTATTACAATAAAAGAATGATATGAATAAGGTTGCTTGTCTAAACCTCTTCAAAATCCTACGATTAGTTTTGTCAAAATTTTACTATAGATTTATTATAGTTTCGGCAAAGTTTCAGCAGTTTTGGCATTTATAATAAGTTTCGGCAGTTTCGCCTTTCTCCAAAGTTTTGCCAGTTTTTTAATATAACTTTAATATAGTTTCAGCAGAATTTCACTTTTCGGCAAAACGCCATCTTGTCTAAACCCCTAGGTTTCGGCAAGCAACCTTAGATATGAAAGATTATAAAAGATAATAATGAATTATATGAAATAAATGATGTAATAATGATGTAATATAAAAATAAAAAGAAATTGCGTAAGCATGTTGCGTAAACAATATGAAATGTAATAAAATATTTAATCAGAAGAAGAGAACATGAGTTCAGTTACAGAAAATGAATAAATAAAATAAGAATTATACTGTGACAAGTCATGTGTTAAAAAAGCAGTAAAAATCACGTGATCAAAACGCAGTAGAAATAAAATGTTATACAAATCCCCTATAAAAAATATTTTTGCTAAAATATACTTAAAATAAACTTAAAATTTTATTTTATACTTAAAATATACTGAAATAGGCAAAAATTAAATATCATTTAAGTATAATTTAAGTATATAATAATATACTTAAAATATTCTTATTTTAAATATCCTTAAAATATACTGAAATGGGCAAAATTTAAATGTAAATTAAATATATTTTAAGTATATATTAAATACAATTTAATTCAAATTTTGCGAAAATTCAATTTTCAGTATATTTTAAGTATAAAATAAGAAAATTAAGTATATTTTAAAGTAAATTAAATATATTTTAAATATATTTTAAGTAAAATTTTTTTTATAGGGATCACGTGAGTAATATAAATCACGTGATGAGACGCAGTAAATAGAAGAAAATAAAAGAAAGTATAAGTTACGTGATGAGACGCAGTAAATAGAAGAAAATAAAAGAAAGTATAAGTCACGTGATGAGACGTAGTAAATAGAAGAAAATAAAAGAAAGTATAAGTCACGTGATGAGACGCAGTAAAATATATATAGACCTCTCCAGTCTGAAGAGGTTGTGGACTTAGAATATTTTTCTTAAAATTTTATAAAATGATAATAATAAATAAATAAGAGAATAGTAAATGAATAGTTGTGTCACCAGGGCGTTATGTCAACAGAAATTTTAGTACATTGATCGCTTAAAAATTCGTGGCTATCCAATTATAATAAGAAAATGTAAATGTATTATAAGATAATATATGAAAAATAAAATAATATGAAATAAATTTGAATAAATAATTTGAAGGTCAATATAAGAAAAAGATTAAAAAGTTATTAAAAGTTTAATTTTGTGTATAGAACTGGTAAAACCCCAAGTATAAATAAGCCTTTATTAGTGATCATATTAGTCTGACACTAGGCAGCCCCAGTTATAAATAATCCCTAGCTTTGATTACAGTTTATTTGCGCAAGATATAGAAATTTTATAAATAAAATCGCGATTATAGATTATATTATAGAATATATAAAGAAATTATAGAATCAAAGCTGGAACTTTGAAAATATTAGAATTTAAATTGTATTTTAGAGAAGTAAAAGATAAAATAGAAATTTAAATGATGTTAAGTTAATGATAAAATTTTATAAAATATAAATGAAAGTGAAATTATGAAATGTTTAAATAAATAAAAATGTCTGATATATATATATGATAAATTAGAAGAGATTAAGAATAGACATGAAATAGAGAAACATAATGAATCAAGAGAGGAATATCAAGTAGACCCTTCATGTTTAAAATGTTATAGTACTGATGAAATAGAGATAGGAAATTGGTTTAAAAGATTTTGAAAAATTTTTCAAAAGGTAATACTGGAAGCAATGAGTTATAATAGGAACACGTTGTTACTCCCGTCTGCCATCTGGCGGTAAATAAAGTTCCCTGCTTCTGTTATATGTGCTCTCAGCGAAACATTAATATTCTTGCTTGGTTTAGTTTTAAATCTTTAACTTAATTTTCATCAATTTCAACATAATTAACAAACAACGTAATCAACGAACAACATGCAACAATATATAACAATAACATTCTTGGTTCACAACATAAATAACATTAGTAATACAAAACATCAAGCGACATAAAATTAAATTTAACTTCTCTAAATTTTCCAAATTATATCCACTTTTACCTTTAACTTCAAACTTCGATAGCTCTCGCTACGAATTATTACTTTTTAAAAACGTATATTTAATTCATCTTAAAATTTTTATTTTATTCAATTAAAATTAATTAAGCAAACATCAATTAAAGTTTAGGGCAAACCTATTACCTTTAATTAACATTAAACTTTACTAACAAATAATTAAATGAAACTTATATTTTTATTGAGTTCTGTGGATGAGAACTGTGGAATTACTTTGAATTCCGCTCTCTATTTATACAAATTTTATAATACTTTCTATTCTAATATACGCTATCTATATACTATCTTTTACAACCCATACAGGCAGTTACTTAGGGTAAGTACCTTTAAGATAAAACCTATACCTCGAGACTTAGGGTATGGTGTTCGGAAGTTTGTATGTTCTTTTTACATATTATCTTTGAACTATCTTTCTATCTTTCGAATATTACATCGTAAAGAAATAATTTATAACCCATCTTTTGTGGCTGTACTATCTTTTCTTTAAAATAACATAATCTTTCAAATATTATATTACAAAGACATAATCCATCTTTTGTGGCTGTGCTATCTTTTCTTTAAAATAACATAATCTTTCAAATATTATATCATAAAGAAATAATCCATCTTTTGTGGCTGTGCTGTAGCTGCGGCTTATCATGTGATCTACTGCGCTCCTTTTGTGTTACTTTGTGTTGCCTAAAATTTCCTTATTTGGTAATTTCCAATTAATTATTAAATTCAAAATCTTATACTTCCCTACTATAGGTATATGATTTTTCTGACATTATTGTCAAAATATTTTTCTAATCCTTCAATATTTTAAATTCTTAATTTTATTGGTTAATTTTTTGCGCCTTTGTTGGTTTTCCCAGATTTTCCCAGATTATTCCATTTCATCATCTTTGTCGATCGTTTATTGATTAATTACTGCGACTTTTTAACGACTTAAAATTTTGCTTCAAATACAATTCAATGGGTTTATTTTTTTTTAATTTCTCTTTCCAGAAACTATTTTGTTTCGTCCATTGCCCGACTGGAAATACTCTCTTCTTATAATTCCTTTGATCATTTCCTTCTTTTATTATCTGCAGTCCTTTTTCATTAAGATTCTACATAATCCCGTCTGATATTCATGGTTACAACGTATGCAAAATTAATGGAATATACATTACCCTTCCAAAAGTATCCGGTCAACCAATAAAAATCATATTTTATTAATAATAATTAATATTTAGTTGGCCATCCATTGTTTTTAATGCATGCTTCAATTCAGCGTAGTATGCTCTCAATTAAATTAATGTAAGTTTCGGATGGAATTCTTTCCCACTCTTCTTTTAGCTGTTAATCCAGTCATGTCCTAAAATTTCCAAAAAGTACCATTACAGACACAATTGTTCAATACAAGAATTTTAATCCTGATAGTTTCATGTCCTTTCCAAAGGCCAATAATTTGCCCACACTTACTCAATTCACTAGTTTTTCCCATTTTAAAAGTAGCTGAATGGCGTAGTAACAAAAAAAAAGCAAAGTTCAGCGTTGGCAAAAATTGAGGTGTTATTATTTTTTTATTGCCAAATCTGGTACAAGTATCGTAACACAATAAAAATACATTCATTTTAATCGTTAGAACCAGGGGAATTATTTTTTTTTTAAAAAAAAATAATACTTTATATATTCAATCTTGAGAAAATCAAGTTGAGCTTGACCAGATACTTTTTGGAGGGTAGTGTATAATATTGATAAGAAATGATGCTTCTGATTGGTCATATGTTGATCAACCGGATATGGTATATGACATAGAATATACAGACGATTTAAATATTGATGATGAAGATTTAGATGCAATTTTGAAAGATAAAGCGGATAAATCAGAAAGTTTTATGTAAGAAGATTAATGGTTGGGATTTCAGAATTCTATTTTATTACTAATTTACTCTTTTTTTTAGTTTTGCGTATTATAGTATGTTTTATTATATATCTGAATTAATTTTACTCTTTTTTTAGTTTTGCGTATTATATTATATTATATTTTATAGCATATATGAATTTATTTTACTCTATTTTTTTAGTTTTGCGTATCATAATATATTTTATAGTATATCTGAATTTATAAATTGAATTGTAATTGAATTATATCTGATTTATATCTGATTTATATAATAAATTTAGTTGATTTATATCTAATTAATAGTGTCAAATTTAGTAGTATTTGTTAATTTATATCCGATTTATATCTGATTTCTTATTCTGAATTATAACTGAGTGGCAACCACTCGGAACTCAAACGGAATATTGCTTTTTTAAAAAAATCGGTCAAAATTGAGTTATAAATCAGATTAAAATTAGATAATCGATTTCTATCTGATTTGAACTATTTCGACTAGTGAATAAATTCACTGCAATTCAGTAAATTTATGAATATATTTTTTTAAACAATTCGGATTAAAAATACTAAGCAATTCAGATATAATTTGGATATTCTAATCAGCGTTGATCAGCCTGCCAATTGGAACTTTGCCTAAATTAATAAATTGGCCATTTTTATCACCAAATTTAGCCTAAAATCGGACATCCAATTTCTAGCCAATTTGAATTATTTCGACCAGTGGCAAAGGTATAATATTCGAAGGGCTTATCAAAAAAGGATAAAGATGGTAAATGGTCTTTTTTTAGACTTACCCAGTCCTGACAGTTTTTAAAAGTTTTTTGAAAAGTAATAAGACTACACATCCAAATTTTTATTATGTTACAGAATTAATTAAAGACCAAAATGTGGCAAAATTTGGGTTTAATTCAATCAGTCAATTTAGAATCAAATAGACTTTTATAGGTTTTTATGACAAAAGTCTTTAGACTGCAGTCTTTAAGCTAATTTGATCTCTGCTGGTCTTAGAAAAAGCAAGATAAAGGCCAAATTTTGCCACTTTTTGGTTTTTAGCCAATTCTGCTATATTACAAAAAATTGAGTGTGTAGTCTTGCTACTTTTTTGAAAAATTTTCAAAGACTGAAAAAGACTGAAAGACCATTTTCCATCTTTAAAAAAGGACCTTGACCAGAAATGTTGCCAACAGGAGAGCTTAAGGCAGGATGTTTAGTAGTAGTTTTATTTTCAGATTTGTTGTTTTTCTTATTATCTTTTTTAGTCATAGCAAAAAGTATTCTAAAATACTAAAATAAAGTAAAAATAAAAGAAAAAGTAATAAAAAACTTGAAATTTTTTTTTTTTCATAAAAATTGTCAAGTGAGCAGAATAGGAGAGAATTTTTAGTTTTGTGCATCTCTTTATAATCACTGCTTGCCAAGTATTTGAAAAAACGTCAAAAATCAGCATTTTTATTTTACAATAATGCAAAACTTTACATTTTACTGAATATCTCAGTATCTAGTAATTGTACAGAGATGTACAATAGCTCATTCAAATTGTTGCATTCAATAAGCTAAAGATCATAAAAATCCAATCATTGGATTAAAAAATATTTGTACAGAAATATTTAAATGTTTAAAGCATAATTGTATACTGAATATTGATTATGTAAAAATGATATTACTATCATTCAAATCCTCTCAATGAGACAAATCAAATGAATGTAAAATTATGAAATTTCAATCACTAGATACCCAAATATCTTTAAATGTCTGTAAAACATTGAACACCCTCTGTAGGCATGGGCAATGCCTTTCAACCAAGAATAAAAATAATCAATTGTCACTATTATGGTGATGCAAAAAAGGCCATATATGGCAAGCATCTTTCTGTAATGTGAAAAGTGGTACCTGGTGTCCATTTTGTTATAGATATAAACATGAACAATTATGTCAAGAAATTGTAGCAAAGTATCTTGGTCCACCATCTGAAAATTGCAGACCAGATTTCTTGAAAATTCCTGAGCACTCTAAAGGATTAGAACTTGATATTCCCTACCTATTATGAATATGGATTTGCAATTGAAGTACAAGGAGAACAGCATGAAAAGTATATAGAATTCTTTCATAATGGTGATCCCAATAATTTTATCAAACAGCAAGAGCAAGATTAACTCAAGAAAGAATTATGCAAAAAGAACCAGATTGCATTAAGGTATGTTTGGTATTACGAAGACCCATATGTAGTTATTCTAGAGCATCTTCGAGAAATGGGTCTAATTGAGTAATCACAAAGCTTTAAATGCTCTATAATTAATGTAAAAAATATTGTTATATACTTTTGACAAGCAAAAAGCTTTATATTTCCAATGGATGCAGTTATATACGGCGAAATATTTTCTGAGATATATAATGTGATAAAATGCCTTTAAAATTTTAGTTTATTACAAATTATGACGCGAAAAAATAATTACAATCTCGGAATGTACTTAATTAAATTATGTTGACTTTAATTTAAGGAAGAATCTACATAATTCAATTTTCTACTCTTCTTATTTGGGGTTTGTGAAGGGTTTCCAAACGATCCTCCTTTCTCACCAGCTTTTTCCGGATTCTTCCTTTTTCGATTTCTGTGTATAAGTGAATGTGCAAGCGAAACACTATTTGTGTGTTCACAAATAGTACTCAACGTATCCTGAAAATAGATGAATATAATAGTAAGATTTTAAATATTATCAACTGTAGTAATGATAAGCATATAATACCTGCAAATCCGTGAAAAGTACATAGAAACTTTCGAGTACTGGGAGCATTTTTAGGGTGTTGGGCATCTTTGAATGAGAAATACTACCAAGCCGTAGTATGTTCGTCGCTTTACAGTCCATCCCATATATATTATGAACCCATCCTTGCAAGAAACAAAAAAAAATCTTTAATTGATGCAATTTCATTACTACAATTGTTTCTTCTGCATAATTACCCCATGAGTGTATTCCAAAGACAAATGTGGAATGAATTTCAGAGCTAGGCGCATTAGAATTCTCTCTAAAGAATGTATATAAGACATCCCGCATTGCCACGCTTAGATCAACTTTGTCTTCGTAAATTTTTTTTCGATGAGGCTCCGGGAGTCCACCACTTCTGAGACCTATGAGAGCCTCAAGCCTGTTGATACTCTTTTTTAAAGTTCCTCGAAAATCGCACTTTTGTCCAATGCGAGCTCTGAGAACGACGGAACGACCTTCATTTCGGCGACAAGCTGACGCCCAGCATGCAATTTCCCCACTATAAAATTATATAAGATGGAATGTGATTACATGAAACCAGACTGGTCATATTCTTTATCTATACTTACACATCCATCTTTAGTTCTTCCCTATTTAAGAATCTTTTTGCAAGCATGTTGGGAAATGCGTTGTCAAAGTCAGCCTCGGAAATGGGAAGATCAACTCTTTCTAGATTTTCCGCACTATATGTGCAAGAATTGACCGTAAGAAAACAAAATAAAGTTTTTGATAATTATATTTTGCTTCACTCACTATGTGACAACAGCCCGTCTTAAAATTGAAATAACATTTTTTTCTTCATCGCTAAGCTTTATTTTTCGATTCGTTTCAATAATTTCTGGGGTTAATCTATCGATCGCGTTGATGATATCCTTATCATCTTTTTTTGTAATCTAAATTGTTTGAGTCAGCAACATTTTTTAAAGTGTTGAAATAAGACAAATATTTTCTTTTAACTTACTTGTCCAACTTCATCGAAAAAATACTCTACTACATCAAGAAAATCCGATTCAACCAATTTAACTTCATTATTGAAACTTTCAACCATTTCTTCCCAGTCATTCGTCGAGAAAAGAGATTTTATTTGGGTGTCCTCGGTCAAGTCAAGTATATTCCAATATGCGAGGCTATAGGTGAAAAAAATTCATAATTAAAAAAATCATCACTAACGTCTATATTATCTATCAATAAAACCTACTTCAAACATTTTTGGGCCTCAGGAATCGTCTTGACGCAACTTGACAATTTATCTCCTACGTTTGTGCCACTACGGAGGACCCACGGACGTTGACAGGTTGATGACATTGGCTTGGATTCTTCTATACGTTCCACGAAGTTAATATTATCAATATCATTATTTCCCTTGTCCATAAAGGATTTATCGATCTCATCTGCGGACCCCTCTTCTTTCCGATCTTCTTCTTCCCGATCTTCTTCCTCCTGATCTTCTTCATCCTGATCTTCTTCATCCTGATCTACTTCATCCTGATCTTCTTCATCCTGATCTTCTTCATCCTGATCTTCTTCCTCCTGATCTTCTTCCTCCTGATCTTCTTCCTCCTGATCTTCTTCCTCCTGATCTTTCGTGTTTTTTACCGATGGCTCATCCTGTAATAAAATTACCCAGCCTTTTTAAGCATACTCGTTGAAAGCCTTTTAATTTGTTTTTTGAGAAATATGACTAATTTACCTTACTTAATGACAACGTGTTTATCTCCTCATGAAGATTAAGATTGGTATTACGTACACCACGACGAACTAAAATCTATATAGATATTTTTGTCAGTACTAAATCCAACTATATCAACAGCTGAACATACCGCTGTTTTCTCCTGCATCCATGTTTCCCAATCACGTAAAATCCTTGCATCCTATCAAAAAAGCGATCAGTACTTTCTAGTTTAACAAAAACACTTCAATTACATACATCAACCGTTTCTTTCATTGTTTTTAGTTTATTCCGAAGTTCCTGATTATCAGTAGTATTCAAGGCCAGGTTAAGGGTACTCCGATATTTATCAGTTGCTTTAACTCGATGTGCTGGAAATATATATCGAAAAAATGCGATCGGAGTTGGATTGGAGCAAGCTAGCATCCAATTGATGTTGGCTTCCTGCCGAGTTACCTTGCACGAGGATGATTTCATTACCTGAGAGGAAAAGATATGGAAAGAAATTGTGAGTGTCATATTAAGCAAAGTATATGATGCGTTGAATAAAGTGGGTTGTTCTTCACATAAGGCCGGCCATCGCTTGATGATGACTTGCCAATTCTGGCTTCTGACAGTTTCTCTCTGCCACAGGCGCCTTTTGTGTTAAACAAAACCCATAAACTCTGTGCAATGAAATCAGCCGGCCATCGCTTGATGATGACTTGCAATTGCTTGCTTCCGACAGCTTCCCTCTGTCGCAGGCGCTTCCTTCTTGCTTAACAGAACTATTGCTTACAAGGAGAAGGAATATAATTACTTAGCTAGATTAAAAGTTTTAAGTTGTTCGAAGACGGAGAAAGATAAAAATAAAAAATGGATTGTCGCGAAAGATATGATTAATAAGCGTTCCAAGATTATATAATTGATCTCAAAGTCACATGATTCTGATCGGTAAGAAATGATAATCTGATATATAACTATGCTAGATAGGCAAATGTATGATGCTATCGAAGAGGGAGGATCCTAGGCCATTTAATGCTCTCAGATAATCGTAGTATAGAAAACAGCTACTATTTTTTTCCTATTATATATGGTTTGTGTATCGTTATATCATCTAGTATTTTAATAAAAAAGGTATAATCACCGTCGAAGTAGATTCTTCTGATAGTTTAGTTCATTTTTTATTTTACTTTTTCATTACTTTTGATATGTTTATAAAATTTGTATTCGCTAACTATTACTGTTAAATAAAAAAATAAAAATAAAAAAAATAAAAAAGGTATAATCCCTGTGATGTAGCATTGGAAGATCATCAAAACACTTGCCAGGTATACTCTTTTTTGGTTAGATTTTATTAGACGAATTTGGAAAAAAAATGGTTGTACTTTATTTTAATATTTAATATTTAATAGTTATCTATTTAATATTCCTACTCCTACTCCTACTCCTACTTCTAATTTTAATTCTAATCCTAATCAATTCAATTATAGAGTAGCACCCCACCCTCCTAATAAATTTGTGTCTTATTTATACTTTTTAAAAAAATTTTTAATTAAAACTAAAAAAATAAAAACCTAAAATTAAAAATAAAAATTCGTTTCGTAATATTTCATAATACTGTATATAAAAATAATAACAAATAAATTAAAACTCTACTAAAAAAAAAATGATATTTTTTATGGGAAAAAAAATTCTTTTACATAATGTTTGATTATGTAGATCAGGGACGATGATTTTCTGCGGTGATTAAGAGTGAATTCTGTATGTGATTAAGACTAATTATGTTACATAATGTGATAACCTTTTTTGGTCATTCTGTGCAATTCTTTTTTGTCCCAAAAAGCAATGTATTTTATTAATTATTTCAAGATAAATTTCATGAAAAAAAACTGCTATTATTAAAAATAAACTATTACTATTAATTATTAAAGTATATTATTTAATTATTTGAACAATCATCTCCATTAAAATACAATATAGTTAATTGCTTTAATGATTTGAAAAGTTTTGGCGATCACTATTTAAAAGGTTATTATACATAGAAAAACTACGTTCTACACTACAACTAGAAACTGGAAGCCAAATATAATCTAATGTAATATTTGATAAAATTGGTAAAATTTTTTGCATTCCCACCCAGATCAATATTTTCCTCAACTATTTCACCTACTGACCTACAATAAATTGCCCATTTCTACAATAATTTATCAGATGAATTACCAAATTTTGTAATTACTGAATATCAATGAATATCATTACGCAAAGTACTTTACTGAAATATTCAAATTTAAAATAATATCTCAATGATATCATTATAAGATCGTAATAATTTTATAATGATTTTCTAAAATAATAATATATTGATATAGTTACAACTCTTAATGATAACGTAATAATACTGTGATGATATAGTAAATGATATCAAAATGATATCATCCAGATATTTATTGATACTGAAATAGCATTATTTTAGTATCACCATAGTGACAATACAGTGAATGATAGTAAAATGATATTATTCTGACACTAAGATAACATCATTTTGATATCAGCACAATATCATCACAGTATTATTACATTATCATAACTGTATCAGCATGTTATCATTTAAAAAATCAGCATAAAACCAATATGTTCCCATATTGATGTCGTTGAGATGTATAAAAAATAACTAATGATTATTCAAAATATCAATCATAATATCTTAATGATATTTAAATGTTATTAGCTTGGTATTATGACAATAATTTTTTTTTTTTTCTCCTTTATACTGAAAGGAGGTCAGTCATCTTTATTTAAGGTATAATTATAATAATCACAACACATTTACATAAAATAAATAAGACCATACTCGTATGCAGATAGACTTTTGGGTCAAAATTACCCTGATATGAATTGTATTACCATTATAAACACTGGTAAAAAAATGATTTATCCTACACATATCTTACACATATTGGGTACTCAAAATGTAGAAAATCATACACAAATAATACACATATCATACACATATCGGGTACTAATATATATATCATACATATATCAGGTACCTGATAGGTATACTATATATATAAGTACCTGATATGTGTATGATATGTGTATTATTTGTGTATGATTTTCTACATTTTGAGTACCCGATATATGTAAGATATGTGTAGGATATGTGTAGGATATACCATTTTTTTACCAGTGAAATACATTAAAACAAAAAAGTAATGTAAAAATCAAACCTCTCTATGATCCCCACAGGATTCCTTCAAAGGATATCACGACCCTTTGTTAAAATGTGCAGCCTTACTGTACATACTAATTTACTATGGTGCAGTTCTACAAAGAGTTAGCACATTCTGGAATGAAAACCATAGGTCACATTACATAATCTTAGCTTCCATCATATCTAGGTAGATATATCAGATCTAACTGTTACGCTTTAATGTAATCTAATGAATCTAATTTTGACAATTCCACTCCTGATCAACTTTGATTAGTAAAAATTAAAAATTAAAATTCACCAATCCCATCAGCCTTCTTAAAAGACTGATCTACATGAATCCAAAAAAGTTAAGTAATACTAAACCTCCAGTTCAGATGATCAACATTCTAGTACCTCTAGTTCCCTCAAAAAAAAACTAAGAGCAAAAACGCTGAAATTTCAGGAAAATGAAAAAACTAAAAAACAAAAAGGAAAGTCATAACCTCAGAAAACCCTTAAGAAAAAAACTGAGTAAAAATGGTAATAAATACCAAGCCTTCGACTACCACTTCAAACCCCTCAAACAACAACTAATAATAAGAAAAAGCTCACTTTTCAAGTAGTCACCTCTACTTTAACTAATACTCCATAGAAAAATCTTTTGCAACGCTTTTAAAGTAAAGAAACTGACAGAGAAGCTTATTATGATATTATGATAATAATTAAAGTATTAATTTTATTAATTTTATTAATAATCAAAAGTTTACTTATTACATATCTGATCATAAATAATAATTAGTACAACATTATTACTAGTAAAATTACTACTAAAACTAACTTTATTTCTATAGTATATGTAAAATTTCAAAGTATATCACCAATACCATTCAGTTTGTTCTATACCTTCATCTTCAGAATGCTTACTCAGTGACATTGAGATATTTCTGTAAACAAAGCACTTACAATTATTTAATAATACCATTCAGTTTTTAAGAAATACATGTTATTAATAATAATACCTACCATACTTACTGAAAATAAAATGTAACAATTGCAGATATAAGTGCTGTTTTAACACATACTAAATTCCTGATGGATATGTATTAAATGATTGTTTGGATTTTGCCATCAAGTCTATGGAAGCAACATCTCCGATTGTTCTTAAAAATACTCTAGTTGAATATGATGTAAAGACTAAAGATAACGAGTGAGTAAGGTTACTGGAGAAACTAGAGGGTTTGGCAAGTTGGCGAAATGCTGAAATAGTGAAATTTTGCTGAAACTATATAAAAATCTTATTAAAAAGTTGGCGAAATTCTGAAGAAAAGCGAAACCTGACAAAACTTATTATAAATGCTGAAACTGCCAAAATCTTGCCAAAACTATAATAAAACTATAGTAAAATTTTGGAGAAACTAATCGTAGAATTTTGGAAAAGTTTAGGCAGGTAACCTTACGAGTAAGTAATAATATAAGCACCAGGGAGCTGATTCCCAACACGTAATTATTATCAGTCATGTTGTAAATGATAACTGATTTACTATTAAGATTGTTATGTATATCATATGACCAGCAATGTTCATTTGTGCTTCCAATAACGTAAAAATTTGATTGGAAGTTTCCAATCCAAATAAATTTATTATAAAATTATGCTTCCAATCTTTCCAAGAGTGCTTCCAAGGGTGCTTTCAATCTTCCAAGTGCACATCACTGCATATGACTGAAGGCCACATAATAGAGTAGCATCCTAGTGTAAATCAGTTATCATAAACATGACTGATAATAAAATTATTGGATATGTATGACGTAAGCAATTGAAACCTTTATCATGTATCTTATTTATTATTTTATAATAAAGTGATCAAAATTTTGTATATCACTAATTATAAAGTGACCAAAATTTGTGTATCACTATTATAAAGTGATTAATAATATACATGAAAAATGTCCAGTGCTTATATAGAACATATACAATAAGGAGTAATTATTGTCATGGTAGCTTTGTAGCATATGACCTTTACTGGAATTTGTGGAATTAGAACCCAAGGAGGGTTTGCCCACAAATTTTTCCTTGTTCCAAGGTTGACAAATACATTTATCGTTTTCGCTAAAGGATCAGGAATAATAAATTGGGATTAGTGCATTCATCTGGTTGGCAAATAAATCTAATTTGAATAGGCCTTATAAATTATTGATTATCTTGAATATTGCAGGGTTTATCTGCCAGTTGTTTCGATCTGCTTTTAATTAGAATGCTTGATCTGTGATCACATTCTGTAGGCCTGGTATGTGTTCCACTTGGAGAGCTGTCTTTCTTTCCAGGCACAATTTTCATAATAGTTTTGAGCTTCTTGATAGGTTATTACTCTTTAGATGATTGATATACGTTACATATATTATATTGTTGGTCTTGATCAATACTGTCTGATTAGAATGGCCCTGTATTATAGAAGGGAGAAATAAATTGCTCTTAACTCCAGGTGATTGATCATCTACAAGCCATCTGAACTCTAAAAAGAGTAAAGAACGAAGTATTAGTATTAGCATCTCATTTTTAAAGAATAAGAAAATCAAGATTTCAAAGTAGTAAAACCTTCAATATTTTTGTATAAACTTTATCCATTGATCAAGAAATTTAGAAATATAAAAGTGAATGTTAGATAACATTCATTAAAATTTTTTTTTTCAAAGT